TGCTTTAGCTTTGATTTCATTAATTAGATTAATTTCTTATTGTTGTATTTATGGTATGTAATTGATTTTGGCTAGATTTGGGCCATTCAGAGCTGGATAATCATGGAAAAGGCATTATTACCGATTGATTGAGCTTGGTTCGAGGTAAGTGGCTTGCCTAACCTTGTGTGGGGGAAATCTCCTTAGGATTTGGTGTTGTTATGATATTTGAGCGCCGTGTACGCGAGGTGACGAGTGCGTACACGGGCTATTTGTGAAAAACCTGATTTTCTTTACCAAGTAATAGCCTGTTTTCATCTTATCTGAGTATACTAGCATGTGTAGTTATCCTGTTAGCCTAGAATAGCATGTCTACGTGTCCTAATTGCCTATTTAAACTCTTTGCAGCATGTTTAGTAAATCCCGCTTCTTTCTTGACTTGTACTTAGTCTAAATTATAGGTTTTTTCCTGTAACTGTTATATTCATTTGTTTGAGCTGCGTATTTACTTTGGGACTACGGGACGGTATCCTGAGAGATCCCCCCCTGCATATTTACTTTTGAGACTGCGAGGCGGTTCCTCGGGAGATCTCCCTGCACATTTACTTTTGAGACTACGAGGCAGTTCCTCGGGAGTTCTCCCTGCACATTTACTTTTGAGACTACGAGGCGGTTCCTCGGGAGTTCTTCCTACATATTTACTTTTGAGACTACGAGGCAGTATCTCGGGAGATCTCCTTGTACTTTTATTTTGGGACTACGAGGCGGTATCTCGGGAGATCCCCTGCTATTTATCCCTGTGCTCTGCGTTGCTACTTTGCTATGTTCTCTTTGTTTAAATTTCAGCCTCTTATTATATTGTTATACTCTCCTGCTTATTTACTATATACCAGTAGGGCCTTGACCTGATCTCGTCACTACTCGACCGAGGTTAGGCTTGGCACTTACTGGGTACCGCTATGGTGTACTCATGCCCTTTCCTGCACATATTTTTTATGTGCAGATCTAGGTTCATTTTACCAGCCTCGTCCTTAGTTGCAGTCGCTGCTATTTTCGGAGAACTTCAAGGTACATCTGCCCGCGCTCGCAGATCCTCGGAGTCCCCCTCTATCCCCCTATGTTGATTCTTTTCTTATTTCTATAGACATTGATGTATAGAACAGTTAGAACTTCGTAGAAGCTTGTGACTTACGGTGTTCCGGGTCTTGGGAGTGTCATGTATATTTTGAGAGTTGATTATTATATATGCCGAGCGGCACCTCCATTGCTTATTAAAATATCTGTTACTGTTAGTTGTTAAATTTTCATGATTTTCATTTCATTTTCGCAAGTGTTAGGTGTCGTCACGACGATTCACGGAGGGAGAATTTGGGTCGTGACATAAATAATATTTAATAATTAATTGATATATATATATATATATATATATATATATAGACACACACACACACACACACACACACACTTTAATGTTTAAAAAATATTTGACCGTTTGACCTCATAAATACCGATCGAATTCGGTCGGTATTTCAATTTTAAAATTTTAAAATATTAATTTAATGACTAAACCGACCGCTTTTATATAAATAATATTTAATACTTGATTGATATATATANAAATTACTTTTATATGGACATTATATCCTATCTGTGTATGTATATATACATATATGTACATAATATTTAATTGATTTAACATCCTAAATTGTAATATTCAATATATATATATATATATATATATATATATACACACGCACACACACATAATCTTGAATGCTATATTAACATATGTTATATTCATATGTTGTTGTTGCTAGAACTTTTATATATATATATATATATATATATGCTACATCTTATAATATGTTAATATAGCTTATGTACAATTTAGGATGTTAAATTAATTAAATATTATGTACATATATGTATATATACATACACAAATAGGATATAGTGTTCATATAAAAGTAATTTTAAAAAACACATACACACACACACATACACACATATATATATATATAACTGACCGAATGCGGTCGGTTTATTTATTAAGTATGTATTAAATATTATTTATTTAAAAGCTATATAATAAATTGACTAAAACTGACCGAATGCAGTCGGTTTCTTCATTAAATTAATATTTTAAAATATTTAAAATTAAAACCGACCGAATTCGGTCAGAAACATTTAATTAAAAATTATTTTTATTTTTAAATTAAATATATATATAATTTTTGTTATATTAAAAAATCAATTGTCTTGGGCGGGAAATATAATTTCAAATATACCGACCGATTTTCGGTCAGTATATTTGAAAATTTTTAATTAAAAATTATTTTATTAGATAATATGAAGTATGATCAGGTCTTGGTCAAATATTGACTAATTTTCGACCGATATCAGTCGAAATTTGTATATATTTATTGTGGGACCACTGTTTCTGTTGTCAGAAATACTTTGTTTGATTTTTGTGACCAATTTACTTATTTTCCGACCGATTTCGGTTGGAATTCTGTGGACGGATTTTGCCATTTTTCTAGTAGTGAATAATAAATCTCCTTTCAGTTTATTACTACTAAAATACATTAGTAAAATCATTAAATTGTCAAATCATGGTAACCTTATAACCAGTAATCTTGGTAAGTTCGTTGAATCTCATTGTGGAAATATATTTCTGTTAAAAATAGAGACAAAAATTTGAATCTATAAAAAGGAGAAATGATATTCAGTATTTAAATCCTGAGTGAGACTCACCGTTTGATAATATGTCGTACTTGTTGTGGCTCTTCTATTTCTCATTTCTTTGTCAAAAAGAAAAAAAACAAGGAAAATAAATTGAAAAATGGGCAAGCATTGGCACCTAGCGGTAGGGGTGTCAATGGATATTTAAAAACCGACTAAATCGACCGAACCGTACCGAACCGATTTTCAGGTTTCTTTCAGTAAAATCGTAGGTTTTTATATAAATCTATAACCGTACCGATAATTATGGTAGATTTTTTATTTTGTAAAAATAAACCGAAAAAATACCGAACTGCACCAAATAAATTTACATGTAGAAAATATATTTATATATTAAGTTTAAAAATAATAAAATATTAAATTTTTTCGTGGGCCTTGGAATTGTAAAAATGGTTACAAGCCAACGAGTAATTAAACTCAAAATCTTAATTCCCAAATCTATTATGCTACTCATATGAAAACTAAATTATTTCCAGCATATTCACTAGCAAGACACAAGGTATTCTAACGATTATGAGTTGCAAACTGCAATGTATTAAGTATGTTTCCTTTCGTATGATTTGGATTTATCTTTTTGAGTATTGAATCTTCCATAGATTTTATTCTTGAGTTCCAACTTGGTTAATATCTTTTTATTCGTGTGATTTAATTTATATATTTTTTTGTCTTTGCTTAGTTTCTTTTACGTTACTGTAGAATAGTTGATGGATCTATACTCTGATCATCTTTCGTATTTTCTTAATTCATCACCATTTAAACAATAAAAATATCTAGAGAGTTTTACGAATTCGTATAAAAGTGCGTATGTTATTGCATTCTACTTCTACTAGTGTCTTTTATATGACATTTAAAAAAAATACCGAAAATTAACCGAACTGTACCGATACCGGAGAGATAACCGACATGATTGAGACGATTTTGAAAAATTTAATTTTGATTATACATAATAAAATAACTGAAAAATTAGTAGGTTATAAATTTTTTAAAATAATTGGCCGAACCGAAACATTGACACCCCTACCTAGTGGTGAGGTAATTGAGAATGACTTTGGAGTTGGGACATCATAGTAAACATAGTTTACACTTCACAGATGTGAAATGCAATTACAAGCCAATGTAATGTAATTGTCTTTAGTCATGCCGTGCTGTCTTTAACCATTTGCCAAAGTAAAATTTTAAAATTATTTGCTTCCTCTTATTTAATAGTATTATTCTTTTTTATTTTGAAACTGCTGAAAACGCTCGACACAAATGTATTAAAGGCCTTATTTTTACATTATCAGCCAATTATAAGTATTATTTGTTAGAAATATGACTTGATTAGGTGAGAAAAAGGATAATTAATATTTTTACAATCGGCTCGACTACATTGATTTTAGGGGACCGAGAATTACTCTTTTAACCTCCTCCGGCTATGTTAAAGAGTCATTTTCGTCACTGATACTGGATTGGCGAAATCTTGACCGTCAATTATATGTAAAATTTTCTCATGATGTCTGCTTTTATATATTATCATTCCCATGCGACCCACGACGCAAGTCAAATATGTTTTAACTATTGTGTATCAAAAAGATTCGACGCTATTTTCTTATTATTCGGTTTCAGAAAAGATTATACCTTTTAATATTTTTTTGATATGAAATATTTATAGTTACACAAATATTATGACATGTTTAAAATCATAACTTTTAAAAGTTTTATAGACATACAAATGTTATGACTTATTTAAGACTACATATTTCAAAAGTCTTTCCTTTTTTTATTAAAATTTGTGCCACCGAAATTAGGATAATCTTTTCATAACGGAGGAAGTAAAACTTATCTGAATTTGGTGCTCACATTAAAATTTAAAAATAACTTTAACTTTATATATTTTATTTAAGTTATCGATAATTTATATCTATAGAAATTTCTATAGTTTTTTTAGATACAAGTTTCAAATATTTTTATTTATTTTTTACTTAAATTTTATTATCAATCAAATACCTTACCATAACTCGGAACGGAAAGAGTAAAACCACGGCTTCTAGATGTGGGGCTTACCCGTTTCCTTTGCCGTTGAGACTTGGGAGTATGTCTAAAGATAAACGTAGGATTTAAACTCAACGTGTTCATATATATTATTTTTATAATTTTAATCAATTTTTATTTACACCGCGTATGAGTAGGTCACTGTCATGAGAGTATGAACTCATCCCAAAATATCGTCCATAATCATTTGACCATTTCCCTAAAATCCAAACTTACGCCGATCCTTCTTCTTTTTTCTTTTTTTTTTTCTTTTTTTTTGGAGAAAACCAGAAAACATAGATCTTTCAGGCGCAGTCGTAAGCAGTGTCCTCAGCAGAAATGACACGTGGCTTCCTAGTTCCTACTATGGGAACATCTATCTTGATACCTATCAATGTACACTTCATACAATTGTCATCCGTCTGTATTTTAGAACTCCTGCTTCTCCTATAAAGCCCCTTGTTATTAGAATTCCAAATTTCGAGTTCCTAAATCCTACTCTGTACATGTCTCTCGATTAGTCGAGTGAAAGGGTGTGAATATTTGGCCCAAAAGCCATATCGGGTAAGTCTTGTCTGCTTTTTCTTCTTCTTAATTTCGGTGGTGTTCTAATCTAGGTAAAGGGAAGTTTTGGCTAATTGGTAAAGTTGTTGTTATATGTCATGGTTCGAACCGTGTAAATAGACTCTTGCGAAAATATATGGTAAGACTGCGTACCGGACCATTAGCGGGAGCCTAGTGCATCGGGCTTCTAATTTAGGTGTTTGGATTCTTTTATGAGCCCCGCATCCAATCATTAGTTCTATAGATAAGGAAATATGCATTGATAAGGAAATATGTATAGGTAAGTAAATATGGATATCATACTGAAAAAGTTACCTCCATCTGTTCCTTTCCTTTTATTTTCCTTCTATTTTGTCAGTCAAGAAATATCATCGCTATAATCAGTATACTTAATCTAAAGTTATGTGTAAAGATTAAAGAGTTTAATCAGTTATTACATGTTAGTTAGGTTAATTTTCAATAAATTTAAGTTTTATGCACAATTCCTTTACACTATCGTTTGGTATAATGGATAAGCAAAAATGATCTTGGGATAAAAATTTATTATCGCCATTCCCTTGTTTGGTAAATTATCCCAGGATTAAAAATAATCCCAGGATAAGTTATCTCAGATAAAGCAGTAAAATTATCAATCCCAGAATTAATACAACATACCAAACAATCAATAAGAAATAATACCAGCATAATTAACTTTAACCTTTTTCTAAATTGCTAACCTATGTTATTATTTATACAAAGATGCAAGCATTTGCCTTTTATGTCCCCATATAGGAGTATCATGACCTTTTATCTAATTCCTTTTATCAGCCACAATAGATAATGTATGCATTTCTACAATATAGAAACTACCATAGGTTATTAGACTCTTTTTTCTAACTCACAAAAACTTTCGAGACATAAATTTATGGGTTGTTAATTGGTTGACGGTTTGTCAACAGATATATATACTAGTATCAAGTGAAGTGGGAAAGAGAAAAAGATGTCAAGATGTTTAAATTACCAGTTGCTTTCACTGGCACTCTTACTGTTAATGACGGTTGATCCAAGTTCACAATCTCGATCAACGGAAGAAAACGGTGTGAAATCAGCTGTCTTTCTATCACCAAAGATTGTGCTGGAACCTGGATCGGTCTCTAACAAGTTTTACTACAACATTGACTTCCCAAAAGGCCATATTGCTATCAAAAATTTTGATGCTGAAGTAGTTGATGAGGCAGGGAATTCTGTACCCCTTCATGAAACATATCTTCATCACTGGGTTGTTGTTAGATATTATCGACAAAAAGGCGTGGAAGTGGCAAAGTACCATGGCAATCTGGGGTTCCACCAATCAGATTTTATTGTTAAGAGAAACTCGGGGATATGTGATGGGGGTCTTACTCAATATTTTGGCCTTGGGTCAGAGACCCGAAAGACGATCACGTATGTTCCAGATCCTTATGGTATAGAGGTCGGCAATCCAGCCGAAGTACCTCCAGGATACGAGGAGAGATGGTTGCTCAATGTACATGCAATTGATACACGAGGTGCTGAAGATAGATTGGGATGCACTGAGTGCAGGTGTGATCTTTATAACGTTACCAAGGACGAGTATGACCGAAATATAGAGCCAGATTATGTTGGAGGCTTGAGATGTTGTTACGATGAAACAAGATGCAGAGTGAAAGAAGGGTTCCAAGGTGCAAGGAGAAGCCTGTACCTGAAGTACACGGTGAAGTATATTGATTGGGATCCCTCCATTGTGCCTGTCAAAATTTATATACTTGATGTCACTGATACATGGAAAAAGCCGGACAAATCAACACCGACCGTGTCAAGACATCACTGCAAGGTGCGAGCAATTTCATGTGATGTGTTATTTTCTTTATATGTATATATTTGTGGTACCACCGCCTTAAAGACCTCTTAGATAGATAGAGATCAACTTTAAAACATCAGTTTCTTCATATCTAGAATAATTACAAATCTTGTCTTAAATCTTAGTATTATACAATTCCTTAAGACCTAATGATATGCTTCTTCAGCAAAGTTTTTATCTTGTAGAGAGCACTCCCGGTGTTCATTTGACCAACTTTTACTTGGATCTATCCCTTTTCAAAATAGAAAATTTACCAATTCAAGAAATTGACTGTCGTTATATAATATGTGCATCATCCTGTACGCAGGATTATCACATGAATTATTGATAATTCAAATCAAATCATTTTAGCTCTTTGCTACCTAATATATCTAGTGAATAATTCAGGCAATTTCTTGATTTCAGATTGAATATTTAGTGGAGTCATGTTCTGCAGCTGAGGCAAATGCCGATTGCACTCATACAAAAAAGATATCTGTAACTTTTCCTAGTGGTGGAGATGTCATCTATGGAGTTGCCCACCAACATACAGGAGGGACTGGTTCAGCACTCCATGGAGAGGTACTCTGAGCTAATATATTTTATTTCCGGGGTCATGTTCTCCCTATAATCTGGATTATTCCATATGCTTCTAATAGATTTTCGGACAATTGACTCACTGATCAAAACAAAGATTTCGTGCAAAAAGCTTTTTCTTTTAATGATACTTGGCTCATTTGGACTGCTCTTGACACATGTTATATATGCCACCACTTGCAAGATCAGATTGATTGAATCCATCTAATCTCATGCTTTTAACCTTGGATAAAATAAAATGTGTTTGCATTTGTCGTGTTTGTCATACTTCAGAGACTTATTTTGTTAATTCAAACTGTTATATCCCAGACTGTCAGTGTATCATTGTTCAGTATCATCTTCAATTAGCTGCAAAAAGCTTTATGTCTGTTATTATAGTGAATGGATCCTCCTGCCCTTCGAGACAATTAATGATTGTGTTTTCTTGTCCGTTGTAAATGAATATGAGTGGCCCCTTGATGAACTGCATGACTATATAGGAAGTGAATGGTAGTGGTTTCTTTTGAAATTTAATTGCTTGAATTTTTAGAGCGGATAGGTGTAAGGTTAGTACTTGTCAACCGTAGTGGGAACTTAGATAACTTGTGTAAGTGTATGAGGCCATTGCCATCGAGTGAAAAGCAGCATTACAGTTGATATGAGTCCAACCATGCATCCACCCTACTTTGAATACATTATTGTGCATCTTAATAACTGATTATTTCTTAAATGACCGCTGTTACAAAGCAGGTTTAGTTATACTGATTTTATGGAGCACCCTATTGAAGATGTCCCTGTGATTTTTCAGTACTTTCCAGTAAACAGAGTGGTGTTTTTAAGATTTTCTTTATTTATTTGTCTGCTGAATTGGTCTAGGATGGACGCGTCATATGCTCATCTCTTCCAATCTACGGGGAAGGAAAAGAACCAGGAAATGAAGCTGGTTACATCGTTGGGATGTCCTCCTGTTATCCTCGTCCTGGCTCCATCAAGATTTCGGAGGGGGAAACTGTAACTTTAATATCAAATTATAGCAGTGCTCAAAGGCATACAGGAGTGATGGGGTTGTTCTATCTCTTAGTTGCTGAACCATCACCAACGCCTAACTCTTTCCTGCATTCTACAGATGGAGTAAGATCTTGACGCCTTTAAAATATTTGTCGATCTATAGTGAATTTCCTACTTATGTCTAAACAAGATTATTTTCAACCAAGAAATATAAAGTCTCTATGGTAAGTGGAGATATTCGATATGCTCATAGATTTTCGAGCTAACGATACTGACACTTCCATCTGTTGTTGCGTCACTCCATCCCCTTACTATCGTTGTGGTATTCTGTCCGATTTCATCAGAATTACTCAACTTGTTTTTTCCTCGGTACTGCAGACAGGTGAGATTGTAATATTGCACAATGCTGTTGGAGTCTTGGCAGTGTTTGGAATTGCTCTACTTGTTGGTGCTGCTGTAATTTATCAACGTCGGAATCAAAGAGAGGAGGAAGGCTATGAATCTGTATTAATGTGAGTTTTCTCAGTCTGGTGACTCTGGTCCCTGGTGTATTATACCATACAATTTATCATCTCCTCTAGTTCATATACCCCTTTCTTTTTGGGGTTGTTTGGAGCACCATATGTAAACTGTTACTCTTTTTCACGTATAAATGTATAAGATAATACAATGGTCTTTCTTTACATTAGAATAAATCAATATCTGTATGTTTCAGTACTTTCTTTACTTATAGAGAAATTGCCAAGAGGAAAATTTAAAAAGGCTTCTGCTTCTGCGGAGAATGAACGAGGCTATTATAGTATTAGGTGTATATCATGAGCTGTAAAGCTCAAATTGTATAAGAAGTTAAAAATATTTGAAAGCTCAACTTGACAAATTCAAAAAGATGTAAAAGAGAGTCATCTTATTATACAATTGCATATTCCATACGACACACACTACAGTTATTTGCAAAGGACTTGATATGTACAATAAGGTAAAAAATTATTTGTACCGGGCCAATAATGACAAATATCAATTTATTTAATTACAATTATTAATATTTCACCATAGTTAGCTATCGTATATTTTTTAAAATAACTATGAGCAACTTGATGTAACATTTTTATGCTACCAGAGTTGGAGAAAACTAATTTTAACACACTCAATATATTATATAACATCTTTTAAGACATTGCACAAAATTTCTACACCTAACAAGATGAAGAAGCATGCAAAATATCTTCACATAATTGTTTACCCGAAAAACGGATAGAGTTGAATTTGTACGTAGTTCTAAGGATATGTAATATAGCTTAATACAAATCGTAAGGATAAATAGAAATATCAAATATGGATTGCAAAGAATGCAAAATAAACAGCGTTGGAAAGAAGATGATTTTTTAGGACTAAGCAAGATGAATCAATTTATGAAGTTTAAAAGAAACTCTTGAATATAGGAGAATATGATGCTTGAATTACGATGTAAGCAAAGAACTGTCCTCTACAGAAATGTAGCCATCCTCTTTATAGTGGAGAATCCTACTTTTAGATATAATTAAAAATACATAGTGGGAGACCCATGATAAATTAATTTTTCCATAATTTCTGCCGGGATTCTCTCCTCTAGTGGGATTGCAACGGCTCTTGTCTATGAGCTCGATATCGACTCGAGTTTTCGGTCTTGACTCGAGCTCTCGATCTTGACTCGAGCTCGATTCTGACTCGGATCCCTATATTGATTCGGGGTCAGTGTTGGTCGGTCTCTGAATCATAAGCTCGATAACTTTACTTTGCATCATAGTTTGACTTGGATTCGAGCTTGATAATAATATCGAGTTTGATAATAACATCGAGCTCGACATTGATCGGCTCTTCGGGCTCGAAGCTTGGTGACCTGATTTCGGACCTCAACCTGATACTATGAAGACGCTTTTACGATCCAGTGTATTACCATTTAAACCAGTTCGTACAAAGTACTAACCGGTTTTTACCGTATATAGATAGTCCCCTCGTTTCTCAGGAAGGATGTAGCGAGAAACTACATGATTTCACAACGGCTCGATCAGATATAAGCTGACGTTTGCATCGAGCCTGATCATGACGTACGTGATAACTTTCCGTCGGTTTAGCTTCCCAAGGCATTTAATGCATGTCAGAAAGTAGTCGGTCACCACTGATATTGAACCGCCATTACTTCAATCTATAAATAGCCCTTCCTTTCACAATTTATCACTTTTACGTCTTCAATCTTCCAAATTTTATAAGTTCCTTTTCGTCCCTTTTGAGTTCATTCGTAGATCTATGATTCTTTTCTGCAAAATTCTTCTTAAAAATCATCAAATCTTTATCACCTTCTTTAAATCCAAAAATGATGAAGACATCAAAAACAGTCCCCCAAAAAGAAAAAGCTTCTTCTTCCCAATCCGCCGCCGACAAAACACCGGTGGATCCACGGCCTGAGGAGTGTGTTCCGGCGGCGTGTGTTCTTACCTCCAATTTCAAACTCAATAAAGGTTCGCAGGTTCCCGGCCGATGTGAGCCCATATCGAGATATATTTGTTCGATAACTGGGGTATATCGAGCAGATAAAAAAAGATTGTAACTGAGGGAATAAAGATGTGGTAGTACATCTCCCGAAGAGGACATTACTACTCACGTAAAAGGGTTTTTAAGTATGTACACTTACCTTTTCACGTTAGGTCCCCTCGACCCTGTTATCATAGATTTTTGTCGTAAATACCTAATAACCCTAGGCCAGATTAATCCTTCTTTTTGGCGGATCGTTATTTTGATCCGATACTTCGTGAACAAAATCGAGGGGATGCCTTTCACCCTCGATCATCTCATCCGATTGTACCGTCCTCGCCTTTTTCGAGAAGGGTTAATAAAACTTCAACGTCTAGCTACCAAGGCTCTGTTCTCGAGCATAGACGAGGGCAAGGATCGAGGCTGGATAGGCAGGTTCGTCTGAGTAAGGACTTCAGACCTGATTCTGACTGAAAAGATGCCTTTTCCCGAGAAGTGGAACATGAAGCGTAAGTGTAATTCTGCTGTTATCTCCTACTATTTTGCCTTTTCATTTCTTTTCTCACCGATTTCCCCCTTTTTGTGATGCAGCAGTTCCCTGGATGCCCGGCAGAGTTCCCGATCTCAAGAACTGGGTACGGGATCTGACTTTGACTGGAATCAAGGCTTCGGAGCCATATACTAAGGAGAACGGGGTTGCGCCCGTACTAGATTTTGATGTTGTTCGATATGCCCAAAGAACTTCGGGTAAGATTTCTCTCCATTTTCCCTTAGCGTCGTTCAACCTTTTCTTTAGGTTTTGAATGATAGTTTTGTTCGTTGATTCGGCATGTCCGTTCCCACTGGGGTGATACGGTGTTGATAATATCCTTTTTATTTTGTGGTCTTCGAGGAATTTCGTCACTTTGCTGCCGACAAACTATTTCCCATTGTCACACACTATTTCGGCGGGTATGCCGAATCGACATACAATATGATCCCAAATAAAGTCTATAACCTCTTTTTCTCCTACTTTCACGAATGCTTGTGCTTCAACCCATTTAGAGAAATAGTCAGTCATAAATAAAATGAACTTAGCTTTACCTGGGGCCAATGGCAGAGGACCGACGATATCCATTCCCCATTTCATGAATGGCCATGGGGATACGACTGAGTGAGACTGCTCTCCGGGCTGATGGATCATTGGTTCAAACCTTTGACATTTGTCACATTTTCGAACAAACTCCTTCGCATCTTTGTCCATATCGATCCAATAATACCCTACCCTGATTATTTTTCGGACTAATGACTCGGTACCGAAGTGATTTCCACAAGTCCCCTCGTGCACCTCACGTAGGACGTAGTCGGTGTCTCCTGGACCTAAGCATACTGCCAATGGTCCATCGAATGTCCTGCGGTATAATGTTCCATCTGCAGTCAATGTGAATCGAGCAGCTTTGGTTCATAGGGCCCTCGAATTTTTAAGGTCCGATGGGAGCTTTCCATTCTTTAAGTATTCAATATACTTATTCCTCCAATCCCAGGTTAAGCTTGTAGAATTTATCTCGGCATGACCTTCTTCGATCACGGATCTCGAGAGTTGAACGACAGTTCCCGAGCTTATCTCGCCTTCCTCGACCGATGATCCCAAATTTGCAAGTGCATCGGCCTCACTGTTTTTTTCTCGTGGAACATGTTGTAAAGCCCATTCTCTGAAATGGTGCAAAGTGACCTACAGTTTGTACAAATACCTTTGCATTCTATCTTCTCGAACTTTGAAAGTTTTGTTTACTTGATTTACCACCAGTAAAGAATCACATTTGGCTTCAATGACTTCTGCTCCCAAGCTTTTAGGTAGTTCGAGACCTGCAATCATGGCCTCATACTCGGCCTCGTTGTTAGTCAACCTAATAGTTTTGATAGATTGCCTAATGGTGCTACCCGTGGGCGGCTTTAAAATGATGCCTAGCCCGGACCCTTTTACGTTCGAAGCCCTGTCCGTAAAAAGGGTCCATACCCTCGATGATATACCCGATTTCAATAAGAGTTCTTTTTCAACTTCGGGTACGAGGGTCGACGTGAAATCGGCCACGAATTCCGCTAAAATTTGAGACTTGATGGCCGTACGGGGTTGATATTCGATATCGTACCCACTGAGTTCGACGGCCCATTTGGCCAATCGACCTGATAGTTCGGGCTTGTGCAAAACATTAGGAAGTGGGTAAATGGTCAGTACGCATATGGGGTGACATTGAAAGTATGGTCTTAACTTTCTAGAGGCGATTATCAGTGCAAGTGCTAATTTTTCTAAGTATGGTTATCTAGTCTCTGCTTCTTCTAAGGTTCGACTAACATAATAAACGGGAAATTGCGTACCTTGCTCTTCTCGAACTAGGACACCACTAACCGTGATTTATGATACTGCCAAGTACAAGCAAAGTTTTTCGTCTGTTTTTGGAGTATGAAGCAGTGGTAGGCTCGATAGATATTGCTTTAACTCCTCTAACGCTTGTTGGCATTTCGGGGTCCAAGCGAAATCGTTCTTCTTTCTGAGTAGAGAGAAAAATTTGTGACTCCGATATGACGACCTTGAAATGAATCGGCCTAAAGCCGCAATTCGTTATGTTAGCCTCTGTACGGCTTTTACACTGTCCACGATGGCGATGTCTTCGATGGCCTTGATTTTATTGGGGTTAATCTAGATCCCCCGATTTGATACCATAAAGCCGAGGAACTTGCCCGAACCGACCCCGAAAGCACATTTCTCGGGGTTGAACTTCATGTTGTATTTCCTTAAAATCTAGAATGTTTCCTGCAAATGAGTCAAATGGTCCTCTGCACGCAGGGACTTAACTAGCATGTCATCAATATAAACTTCCATTGATTTACCTATTTGTTCCTCAAACATTTTATTTACTAGGCGTTGGTAAGTAGCTCCTGTATTTTTTAGCATGAAGGGCATCACATTATAACAATATGTTCCATACTTGATGACAAATGAAGTCTTTTCCTGGTCTTCTGGGTTCATTTGGATTTGATTATACCCGGAATAGGCATCGAGAAAAGTAAGGACCTCGTGTCCGGCCGTGGCATCGATCATGCGATCGATATTAGGTAGTGGAAAAGAATCTTTGGGGCATGCCTTGTTTAAATCCTTATAATCTACACACATTCTAAGTTTGTTCCCTTTTTTAGGGACTATAACTACATTGGCTAGCCATTCAGGATAT